GATGTTCTCTTAATGATGAACGGAATGGCATTTGGATGCGACAATCCCGTTGGATATGGCCATTCCTGCCACATCTATAGCACCTAATATCCTGGGATCTTCTCTGGTTCTCTGTCTGGGTGTTGTTGACTCTCTTGTTCACTAGTAATTCACATAGTTTATTAAACATCTCCTCCAAACGTATGTGAGAACTCTTTGGCTGTTCCTCAACCGATACCGAGCCTATCTTCGGTTTAGGAATGGCGCTAAATGCAGCTTCTATTCCCAGCGCCCTGACGAGTACTTCGCTGCTGGTAGAAAATTGGGATATTTGCAGCGCCCTCTGCAATTCGTTGTCCTCAGTCCGCTGATAAAGCACTGAGCAGCGAGTTCTCCCTAAATCCTTCCGGTACTTCTGGATATGCTAGGTGTACCAGCCGTTATGTAAAGTCTGCTTCGAATTCCTGCAGACTCTCGGACACTCTGCAGGCGTGTCTTGATCTGGGCCTGGTAAAGTTGGCGTCGATGTTGGTCGCCATATCTTCTGTCCAGTGCAGCGACCAAAGTTTCTGGTATTCCTGCTGTTGGGTTGCAGGAATAGTTTGCAACAGTTCCAGGGCAGGGCCACGCAGCGCGATGACAAATGCCGCTGCTTTCTCCTGGTCGGTCCATCCGTTGGCAGCGGCGGCTGCTTCAAACTGGCAGTGGTACATAGTCCAGGTGGTTTGTCCATCGTAGGTTGGGGCCTTGAGGTTCGCAGTTCCATGAACGCCAGGTGTCCTCATTTGTACCTTGGTCTTCTGTAGGTCCATCTCCAATTTTTCCATTTTCTGCTGAAGGCGTTCCTCCAAGATCTTCTACAACTTCTTGGAAATGGTTCTCCCTGCCGTTTTTCCAGGTCTTCAAAATTCTTCTGTAGTCGAAATTCCTGATTTTCCAAAGTTTTCTTAAGACGGTCCTGATCTTCTTGTCTTTCCCTGTGACGTCGCTCCTCCACACGAATTTCCAAGTTTCCTAATATTTTCTCAAGCCGGTCCTGTTCTTCTTGTTTGTCTTGTTGTCGTTGTATTTTTAAATCTTCGAAAATTTTCTTAAGCCGGTCCTGTTTTTCTTGTTTGTCTTGTTGTCGTTGAATTTTTAAATCTTCGAAAGTTTTCTCAAGCCGGTCCTGTTCTTCTTGTTTATCTTTCTGGCGACGCACTTCTAGATTTTCTACAATTTTCTCCAACCGTTCTTGTCTAATTTCTTGATTCTCCATAAGCATTTTCTGTAGTTGGTCTTGTTCTTCTTGACGTCGTAGTTTTTCCTCTTCTTTTTTCTCTTTCCAATCGGGCTCGTTCTTCTTCTCGTTCTTTACGGAGTCTTTCTTGATCTTCTGCTTTTCTTTCGCAGCCTCTTTGTTCTTCTGCCTTTTCTTCTCATATTCTCCATAAAATCGCCCAATAATTTGCTTACTTCCTCCATTTTCTTCGCTTGCTCCCTTGTACCAACCATAAAAACACTATAATTGGGTCTAAAAAATCTTCCAATCCACTTAATTTCTTCTTAAAATCCTCTTGAGTCGCACTTCCGACACCAATTGTTACGGATTCCGTGGGTCCACTATTTAAACTCACCATAAAATACTTAACGAATTTATTTGTTTCACTCTGTACACACAACTTACTATTTCATGTTCTGTCAACTTATGCAACTACTATTACTCTAACGGTATTTCGCGGTATTTTCAAACTTTAGACTTCAAACTTCAAACTTCAAAACTTGTCCAACTGTCAAAGCGCGGGCCTTATATACCCCCTGGCGGTTGTTTCTAGATTTTTCTAAAGAATTCTATAATTTTCTTTACTTTCTGGCGAATTCTCATAAAATATCTGCACTCATTTCTGGGACACCCTGTATATATATATATATATATATATATATATATATATATATATATATATATATATATATATATATATATATATATATATATATATATATATATATATATATATATATATATATATATATATATATATATATATATATATATATATATATATAGTATATATATATATATATATATATATATATATATATATATATATATATATATATATATATATACAGGGTGTCCCAGAAATGTGAAGATGCAGAACCATATTATGAAATGGTTAGATCTGGCCAAAAGAAACATATTTTCTCTTTACCATTTTTTAAAATAGGATTTAAAATAACTGAGTTATTTAACTTTGAAAGTTTAAAAAAAAATTGCGACATTTTGAGAGCCGCCGGGGAATCTCGCGGTCCTCGGCGTGGGGAGGAGAGATCGCGGATCTCAGCTTGTTCGCCGCCCGCTGTTGCCACATCGACTAGAAAGACTTAAAAAGTACTTGCAAAATCCCACACCATCCAAGAGGTTCTGCAGAGGTGCGTTACTTTTTTTAAGTGGGTGATAGCCAGTAATACTTTTTCACATTACAATACAAAATAAACTAAAAAGAAAAAAACTTACCAAACAATAAAAAAGATATCCCTATAGCAAAGAGATACAATTGCAGAGCTTTCTTTTTTCATTTTACCACTCTTAAAACTGCCACATAACACTACACTTAATAACATCACTTCAATACCATTTTAACAACACTATGCAAATTTTCAACTGTGGAAATATTGGCTCCCCTATTAATTTTAGAGCTAAATCGTAAATGGTTTTTAAAGATACATTACAAATTTGCACAAGGGGATCCAATATCTCGACAGTTCAAAATTTGCATGGGATATCCTATATTTCCAACGATGATGCACCACCCGGTATACCCTTCGCTTCTTGACTGCATGCTATTACAATAATTGTTCAACATGACGACCTCCATTTCCAATACATGCTCTCCTTCTTCTGAGCATGGAATTTTTAACGTTTTGTAGCAATTCTTCGTTGCTTTTCCCGAATCCTTCAAATGCTGAACCATACTTACAAAGGTTCGAGCATTAGGGATTTATCTATTCGGATACTCTTCGGAATAAGTCTCCGAGCTTCTACAGCGCTTTCCCCTGCCAGAAAGTACCTATGCTCTTAGCATATCCACCTTCTTCGGATTTGTATACTCCATCGCGATTTGCCTATACCGATACCGATTACCGACACAAAAATATGCACTAACGAACATTTCACAACACTTTAAACACAATCTCCGATCACTTTCTCGAATTTTAAAAGCTCGATAATATTAGAAATTAGATCGATTTCTAATAGTGTACATGCTTTGTGTACATGCGATTAATAATGACGTTAATATAATACAGGAATCTGTAATTTTCTCCCCACCGCCCATTTCATTGGAAAAAAAACGGCGGCAAGTTTTCTGCTTTTGAAATTACGATCGATGGCATTTTATTGTGTAAAAGTGGATGGTAAATGGCATCGATCGTACTTTCTCAGGCAATTTAACGTCTTAGCAGGTATACTTATTTTTTTTAAAAAAAGCTTTATAGAAAAAAATAGCTGAACATATTAGTAGCTTTATTACTAATTAAACTATTCAAAACATGTTCTGATATTACTAAAAAATTTAAGTAAAAATATAAAGAATTTTATAGTTTGACGACGTTATAATTAACAATAGGCAAATGGAAAAAAAATTACCTAACTACATATTAGAGACATAATTCCATACCTAGAAATACCGTATGGTCGAAAAAAACGGCGTCCAGAATGGCTTGAAAATAACGGTCGGTGACATTCTCCATAAAATTTTACACATAAATTGACAGCGATCTTTATATCATAGCCATCGCTGACGCCGTTTTTTTACGACCATATTAATATTTCCCATTAATCACATGGTGGCAATACTAATTTATATTTAAAGAGATATATTTAAATGCGTATAAACTAGGTATTTTATTAGCAATCATATTTAAGCTATTATCACTCATATCATATTCTAATTATTTGAAACTTGAAACATAATATTTACTCCTATTATATTCATGTAACTAAATTTTCTAATATTAATAACTCTCTGATAATAAAAAAACAAGAGTGTGTTTTGAAAAAGTAAAGCATAATTACTGTGTATTGACTTTATTGTGAAAAGCAACCTATTTGAAACACATTTACGTAACTACAGAATAGTTTAAAAAAGAACTTACACACATGTTTTTTAGTCTATTTTCTTTATTATATTTGAAAACTACAGTCCCCCTTCCAATACATAAAAACATTTATATTCAAATATACTCTAGATAGAGCTCCAATTTTTATATGAAATGAGAATTTGTTCACACATAAACTACCGTATGATCGAGAAAAAACGGCGTCAACGATGGCTATGAAATGAAGGTCGCTGTCATTTTTATGTAAATTTATATAGGAAATGTCATTGATCGTCATTTCCCAGCCAATTGGACGCCGTTTTTTTTTCGATCATATGGTTACATTTTATGTATTTTTATTCTTTAATTTTAATTACTACAAATGGTCTTGATATTTTTCTTTTGAATACATATATTCTTGTTACTCTCTTTCATCTTTGTCTCTAATATACAGATGCATTACAATTTGTTGTTAGTATATTTATGTAATCATTTCATAAATCCTAAAAATAAAAATGGTTATAACATAAAAATATGTTCATATAAATATGTTCAATTTTTAATAACCCATTCACTAAATGAGATTGTGAGACAACATACAGGTAGCTGTTTAAATAATTTTCAATCTTTGTATGTAATAATAGATTTCACATATTATATGCATTACACAATATCTATTACCTGCAATAATAAAAGATATTTTCTTTAAAGTGTATAATTCTATCTAACACACTTCTAATAAAGTATACTCTGACTCTTTTGAACATTTGTTACAGCTTCTAATAATTAGGTATATCGATAACTTCCTAAGAAATTTTGTTAGCACTTTTAGTTAGTTTACCATTTTTCTCAATATATTCTGCATAATATATGACTCGATACATTCACCTAGAATAAAATCAATAATATCATTTATGAATAGAAAACTACATGTATAACTCCGTTAATATTTGCAATTTCAGACCAGAACTTGTCTGAAGAGAACTTTCTTGGTTTGTTTAAAAATATCTTACCGTATAACATAAATTTACATCTGAATTAATCTAATCAGATCAAATTTTCTTCATAGTATAGAAAACATCGAAACTATTTGACTGGTAATCGAGCTATCAATAAGCTGACACTAAAATTTAATGCATAATTAAATGGGATAATTATTTTCATGTAAAAAAACTTTATACTTAATAAGACCACAGGGAGTACATAATAACAGTGTTACTGAGATTTTTGATTTAATGTATTGCTTGGTATTTGTAGATCTATTATTGTATTGTGATTACAATTGCCTTCTTCTCCATTGATGCATCCTAATTTAAGATTACTGATTTTCTAATACATAATTAAAGTGAAATTATTTTTCCTACCATTACATAATTAATTTCTTCCTACCATTAGGTAGATACCTGAAAGGTTAATAAATTAAAAACGAATTTATTAAGACATTTAAACTGTTTACCTCATTTCTCACATATTTTTGACACCAAACATTATAAATAAATCAAAAAATATTCGTATACCAACTGAATTATATGATATTTCATTTTGAATAATAAAAGTACTTTTTTACAGGTTTATTTGGCATTGTTTGCATTGTTTTTTGTTGTTTTCTGTTTTGTTTTTGTGCGAGTTTAATAACCCACGATTAACCTTAAACATAACCTTAAACTACACACCATACTAGGGATGTACGATTCGAATCGATTATTATCAAATCGACGTGATTTTTATCAAACGATTTTTTGGTATAATCGATCTTTTTTTTTAAATCGAAGACCGATTTTATTTATACAGTTTTACAGGTTTATTTATTTGTTAGAATTTAGAATAAGAAAAAACACTTTAGTTTTGCTGGAATATTTGTTTGCAGTGCATCCCTAGTAAAAGGCCATCTAGCAATGAACTGAAAAATTAAGTGTAAGTGCTCGCTGCCGATGTTTGTTTATCACTTTGATATCAGGTGTCAGATTGTTGTCGGGGCTTCCCATATTTTTATATTTTAGATAACGTAGAATATTCTTTGATTTTACCTTAATTCTTTCTTGGGTATACCCTTTCTTGTACTTTTATTTTATTTTGGGATATCCCTACTCCATACATTAAACATTTAGAAAATTGATTTATCTATCTTTATATAACCACCAAAACGTTGACCCATAATAGTAATACATCAGTCCAGTAGAGGACGCTAAGGTAAAAATTTCTAAATAAAAAATTTGTAATTTGTAATTCCTTCAGTGTTTTTCGGAAATCGTTGTCGGGGTTGCGTCGGTTTTGAAGAAATGAAGAAAAGCCCCGGACTGTCTACCATCAGCCTCCGGATATGAGTAGTTATTAAAGCAAGTTTTTTAACATTTTTTATTGTATTTATGAGTTTAGTGTTTGATTATTATCATGTGAAAAATTTTTAAATAATATTTTAAAAGTGATAGGCATGTGATAGGTTTGTGATGTCAGTTTAATAGATATTTGGTGTGTATGTGTTTACGTATATGTGTGCTGGATAAAAACACTTTCATTAAAAGGGTAAGCTCTAACTAAACATTAAAGGTTATAATTGTTTATTGAAACAATTGAAAATATTTCCTAATATGGCGAAAAAGAAGCTATAATTGTTAAGATTTATTTTTTCAGTTTACTCCACTGTAAAAAAGTATTTAAAATATTGCGCGTTTCTCTAGAATTAGTAGAGCAATCTACACTAATATGAATAAAATGAATTTTCGTATTTTTTCTGTAGCAACTTAAAATAATTGAATTTATAGATAAACATGCAGAATGTGGGTATGGTAGGAGGTGGCAACGTTGCATTCTCTCCGACACTCTCTATGCCCGGTAAACAGAATTTCCCGGGAGTGAACAGTGGCACTCAAAGTTTTTCAACATTTTCCGGAAAATGTCAAGAAAAAATATAAAATTTTCAACATTTTTTTTTCGCAAAAACCTCATAGGCGTGTTTCTGGGGTTGAACTATACTACCAGTTAAAATATCTGCACTCATTTCTGGGACACCCTGTATATATATATATATATATATATATATATATATATATATATATATATATATATATATATATATATATATATATATAGCTATATATATATGCTGTATATATATATATATATATATATATATATATATATATATATATATAGTTTATTAAATCGACGGAGTCAGACCCGGTACGTTTAAGATAGGCCGTCAGACCCGGGGTATATCGGACGAAAAATGTTCTAGCGATGCCTTCAGCCCCTGATGCTGGACCGTTTAATTTGTCCCATTTATATAAAAAATAGAGGTTTATTCGTTTTCGCCAGACCAAAGCCAGACCCACGACGTTGCCGCTTTTAATTCTCAAATATTTATATTAGAATTATTATTAATATTATCTATATTAGACGAACGGACTTTTTGACGCGGTAATTGATGACAACGGACTTCTTTTGACGCGGTAATTGATGACAGTGCAGAAGTAAAAACGGTGCATTTTTGCTATAGTGAATATTATTGTACTTGTTAGTATTAGATATATTCTGTCTTATAAATGCATCTGTACGAAAGCGTTTTTTATCTGAAATTCTTTTTAAAATTAAATTTCTTTTGTAATAAGCATAATCAAGTTACAAAGCATTATCAATTTCCTGTTTAGTAGATTTTTGTAAGTGTTTACTAAGTGATGATGGAGGGAACCCTGTTTATCATCTTTATACTTTAAAAGAAAAAAGTTTAGCTACTTCTACAACGAAATCATAGCATCGAAATAAATTTTTAGATATCGTACAATTTTTTGACAGGACGATCGATTCCGACAAAGAAAAAAATTAGTTACTTCTACAACGATATCGTAGCATCGATATAAATATTTAGGTACTGTACAATTTTTTGACACGACGATCGATTCCGAGGACTGTCATTTCTAAGGTAATTTTAGACGCCGTGTTTCGAATCATATGGTATGTGTGTATTTATCATTAACCTTTTTTTCTATTTTGTTAAAAAAGAATTATTTTAACTTATTTTTTTATTACATACAGATATGAGGGCGCCAATTTAAAAATTTGCACTGTGGGCAAGACGGGAGAAAAAAGATGCTCATTTAGAATATTAAGAAATTCAGACAAAAAAATGAAAATAAGGATTCTTTGAAGATTGTTTCTACTAGTTTTATTTAAAAATATAAGTAATATAAGGTCTAATCTGGCGAGTTGAGTTTGGATGAGACTAAACAAAATTTTTTAAAATATAGGTACTTCTGTATATGTATAACCATATGCGAAAATGTCAAAAATTGACATATTATGATATGTCATTCAATTGAGGGTGCATCCAAACCAAAAACGGCGTATCGGCGTAACGGCGTAACGACCTTGAATAGATTTCCAGTAATTCTATTGGCTGAAAAATTCATCTGTCAGAAATTTTATCTGTCAAATTCATCTGTCAAAAATTTCAGCTAATAGAATTACTGGAAATCGATTCAAGGTCGTTACGCCGTTACGTCGATACGCCGGTTTTTAGGATAGTGTGGATACACTCAGAGTGTAATTTTGTATCGAATAATGTCAAAACACAAATACGACGACTGATTTAAACGAAACAAATTTTAGGTATTACTACAACGAAATTATAGTACCGAAATAAATTTCTAGGTACTCGTACAATTCTTTGACCCATCGATCGATTTAGATGAAAAAAATCTTTAGTTACTTCTGTAATGTATTATAATAGTACCGTAATTTTCTGACACGATGATCGATTTAGATGAAAAAAAAATGTAGGTACTTCTGGTACTTCTACAACGAAACCGTAGCATCAAAATACATTTTTAGTTACTCGTACAATTTTTTGAGACGGTGATCGATTTGGATGAAAAAAATTTTAGATACTCGTACAATTTTTTGACACGACGATCGATTCTGACGATTGTCATTTCAAAGGTAATTTGACGCCGTTTTTTGGAATCATATATATGCCATGTGTATACTTATCTAATAAGTAAAGTGTATTCATTTAGAATATTAAGAGATTCAGACGAAAAAAATCAAAATAGGTAGTAAGTATCTTAAGATTGTTTCTACAAGTTTTATTTAAAATTGTAACAGAGAACTATTACTATAGGGGTCCCTCTCGGACCGCTTGGCTTAGTCCATTATAAAAAGAGCGAGGGACAGTAGGTAGAAAAAAACATATGATTTGATTTGTCACGGAAACGTAAAGTTTATTAATAAAAAGTGTTTTGTTGAAATTCTTCGAGTTTTATCATAAAAGTTTATGGTTCGACACCCAACAAATTATAACGAATCCCCGTCCCTGTCACAAAATATAAATAATTTAAAGTCTATTCTGGCGAGTTGAGTTTGGATGAAACTGTAAACAAAATGTTTAAAAGTGTAATGTAATCATTGAAATTTAATAAAATTCCTATAGCAGTAAAGTAGTAAAAAGTGTAGGTTTAAAAGCATGAACTTCTGGGAAGTCCCTATTTGTATAGATTGGGAACCACCTACTTTTCTGGGAAACCCATACTTTCAAGTTCAATTTATTAGAATTATGATTAAAACAAAGCACTATTCTGATTCATATTGCAATCAATGAATATTAATATTATATTACCATATATTACCCTAATTAAGTTTTCGACTACGAAGTAAATATAGATAGAAGGTAGAACATATTATAGAGATGCAACCATAGAACGTGTTTATCATATTTATATGGTGTTGGTAGATAGCATCCAGCCGTAAACTGAATATACAACGTATTACTTGTAGCAATCAACATTTTTGTTATACACTAAAATTACTATTTTAGATCTTAGTGAACGTAGTAATCTAATAAAATTAATTATTGTACTGATTAGCTACCCTATAATCGAAAAAAAAAATTAGCGTCAGCGATGGCTATGGAATGAAGGTTGCTGTCATTTTATACCGGGTGCATCTCAAAAGTGGTCCACCGCTATAACTTTTTTATTTATTTTTCTGCTGGATAAAAAACGAGATTTGGTATGTTAGTATATGACATAAATTGGAATTGATTGACGTATTCAATTGTTTTTGGTCACTTCCAGTTTCACAGGAAAATGACTACAACTTATTAAATGACACCCCTGTATATTTTTACATTATTCGGTAGAAAATGACACTCTGAATAGAATAATATATCATAATATGTCAACTTTTGACATTTTCGCTTAAAAAAATCGTATTTTAAATTTCTATCTATTATAGAGTGCCATGGATGTGTTAAAAACACCAACTTTAATCAAGGAGCCTTTGGAATAGATTTGATAGCGTCTAATGATTTTCGTCTCTTTGTCCGGGCCCGTTAAAAGATATCAAAATCGAATTTTTAATCATATCTCAAAGTT